TGGAGTTTAAAGAGCTACTGAAGAACGAGAAAAGCAACTTCAAACTGGTCAACAGTGCGGTGTCTTTTCTGGGCAGTGTGCCCGCCATGATCAACCCGGCCGACATGTCCAACACTATCCCCAATGAGAAGGTGAGACCAGGTGGGAGGTGTGTCATAGCTTGCAGGAACACAGAACATTGTTTTTGGTGAAATTCATAACAACTGATTATTAATCCACATTCAGTGTGTTTTATATGTACTTAACAAAGAGAAACCCATTCCCAACACTGCACTAAGCTTATTCCCCCGCTAATTCCCTGCCTGCAGTCTTGTGCTACAGATGTATAAATGATCATGTGTAAAAACAATAATACAAATGTAGCTTTCTGATTCAGTAGCTCTGTGACAAATGTTGGCTTTTAAATGAATTAAGCTCACTTTACAGGAGTTGGCTGACTTTGTGGCTGCCTCACCCATGTAACCTGACTGAATTTCCGCCCTCATGAGGACAAACTCTCTTGCAATCATTTGTCTTTAAAATCTCAGGATTTGGTCAAATAAGGCTTTTAACGCCTCAATTGTAAAGATATTTAATGTACCAAAATGTGAGAGAATGCAGCACTGTCTTCATCTACGTAAACTGACTTGCAGGTGGTGATGTCGTACTTGTCCTTCCTGTGCGCTCGCCTGTTGGACCTGCGGGACGAAACCAGAGCTGCGCGGGTCATACAGGGAGCCTGGAGGAAATACAAGCTCAAGAAAGATTTGGAACTCTACAAGGTTTGTGGTTTTTACTTATTTATCATTTAAATTAAACTCACAGTTAAGTCAAGTGTTAATGAGACCCTTTAGCCCTTTATGTCTGATACTGGCCTAATGTTGGTCATGGGTAACTATGGGTGTTTGAGGTGTACTTGTCAATAAATGAACCTTGAAGACGTTGGTGGATGTAAGTCACACGTTAAAGGATCGTTAACTCTACACCCATCATGTTTGCAGACTGATACGCTTACAAAATGCTACCAAAAAAGTAACCTCTGTAGAGAAGGTTATAATGTGTTTAATGTTGCTTCTTGTTTCCATGCAGGAAAGAAACATGGCTGCCATGAAAATCCAAGTATTTGTGAGGAATTTTCTTCAGAGGCGCAGAGCTAAGAGGCAGAACCAGGCTGCTGTCGTCATCCAGACCTCATGGAGAGGTTATGCAGCCCACAAAAAGCTGCGACTTAGAAAACAGGCTCAACTTCGGGCTATGCAGCATGAAGCAGCAACCGTCATCCAGGTGTGTATGTGCGTTATATATCTGAGGGTTAGAAGTGGTGTTTGACAAAGTCACATATGGCTTTGGCTTTTTGAATCTAACTAGATTCAGCTTCTCAGGTGATGGTTAATCTGACTTTGTTTCTAGTTGTGAAT